CGCCCCGCCCGCTGCTCGGAGTTCCCAGGGTTCCGGAGAGCCGGGGTGGAGTCGGACGAGTGTCCCCGGAGGCCCGTCTAGCCCCTGCTCCCTGGGCAGTCGGGGCTCGGGTGCCGTCCGTCTTCCCTCGAGGCTGGAAGTGGCTGCCCGGCGCCGGGCTCTCCGCAGTTCGGCTATCTTTGCGCATGGAAGTCTCCAAGAGGGGCTCCAGGAAGCAGCGAGCAGAGAGGGGGGCGAACGGCCTGAAGGAGGGCAGGAGATAGGACGCAAGGCTTCTTTGGGGAGGCCCGGGGTAACTACGCCCCCTGGCTGGGCGGGAAGCCCGAGGGCGGCCGCCTGCAGAGGGCCCCACGGCCCGGGGCGCAGGCGGTGGCGAGCCGGTTTCGCGTCTGGGCGGAGGCGCCGGCGCTCGTAGCTACAGTGGCGGGGACGCGGGTTTCTAGCCCGCCCCTACTTTGGGGCCCCTGGGGACCTAAACCTGCCTCTCGCGGGGGGGGTCTTGGCCCTTGGCCGATCTCCGCAGCTTCACGCCAACCCTCTCCCTGGGGCTTCGGCACCTGTTCCAAATAACCTGTTGCGCCGACTTTGCTTTGGAAAGGCGCCCGCGTTCTGCTTGATGGTGGCGGGCCGTAGGGAGGCCCCCAGGCGCCAGGAGAGAGCTCAGGTTCCCTGCTAGTGAGAGGCAAACCCTCCCCACGTGCAGTGGCCTGCAGTGTGTTTCACCTCGGCCAATGTCCCGGGAACCCACGGCGTCCTGGGCACGCCCGCCTTCGGCCCACACTGGGGACTTCTTACGTAGCTCTTGGTAATTTGGGAGGAAGGACTAGACAAAGATCGGGATTAGAGACTCACCGCCGGCTAATTAAAGCCTCTCTTCTCCTCACCAACCCCCCCACCCCCAAACCTTGCAGCCAGATAGAAATCTTCAGTCTCCCACCCCCACCTTCAAGTGCTCCTAGAGAAAGCTGGTTACTTTTGCACCACTGCCTCAGACGAACTGGCACTGGGAGCAGTCTCACCCTGGAAGTGATTTTTTTTAAAAATTATTCCTAGTTTTACGACATCTTTGCAGTGATCGCACAGAAGCCCCTTTGGCTCCTTTCTTGTTTGGACCGCCCAGCGTCCCTCAAACAGCTAGGTAACCAGCTTCGGAGTGAAAGCCTTTGAAATTGGATTCTGGTGATAAGGCTAGCTGGGAGATGTTTCTGGAAGGAGTTTTCTTATGAAATCCAGTTGGGCAAGCCTTGGGAAATGGATGACAGCAGTTTGTTGACATTTGGATTTTCAAAAAGACATGGGGACTTCCATCGGGGCAACTCAGAAAAATTTTATGTCCTGACATGCTAAACACAGATGAAATTTTTAAGAGCCACTTCTAAATGAGGGCCACTTGGCTCTAGCCTCACACCCAGTTCTGGTGCATAAAATTAAGTATTCGGGTTTAAAAATCATCATTCTGGCAATAGCCAACGTGGGATGTCTTTAAGCACTTATTTGGAAGTTTTTGCATACTTTTGAAAACATACTTGACGCCTCATTTCTTCGATGGCTGCTCAATAGTCACCCGGAGAGGCTGGCTGAGCTGCCCCCTCCCCAGCTTTCCCCTTGCTTGCAACGCTTTCATCCAGGACTTGAATTGTGTTGTCAAAGTTTAGTAGACGAAAGAGGAGGGGGCATGAGAACGGGGGTGGGGGGTGTCTTGAAAAGTCTTGGAAATCGGTATATTTTGCAGGTGTAGAATGTGCCTAATAACCATGGCTAGTGCGCGCTCCCCAATGGCGAGGGTATGACAGGGACAGCTGGCTCAGTTTTCAGTGTGAAAACACCCCCTCGGTGGACCAAACACAACGACACTGACCTTTCTGCGGGGGGATCCAAGATGTGCCTTTGACTGAATTAGCCATAAAGACGTCTTGCTATGACTTTTGTTCCCCACGAAAGCAAAGAAATATTGCGTTTAATATGAGTGGTACTGTTCACAGCTTTTCTGTGCCCCTTAAGAAATATTACAGTGCTGATTTACTGGCCCTCTTCTACTGAGCTGGCTCCGAGGCCGAGGGTAGAGGGGTGGGCTGGGGTGGCCAGGACAGAGGAGGAAGGCGGTGGAGGTAGCCCTCTGAGCTGCCTGTTGCCAGTTTCCAAAGTTCTCTCTTTGCAGCGGCAAATTTATCAATCTTTTCATCTGACAATACTTAGAAATATATCATTGTCATCCAGAGTTGTTTGATAGATGATCTACTGGCACACCAGCCTTTTCCAAGGTCAAGTTGAAGATTCTTGTTTGCTGTTTAACTGGGTTGTTTAAAAACTCAGAACAATGCCTGCCTGTTAAATTTTCACTTGTTCTCATGGGGCATTCGAAAGCAAGTTTTCCTATTGACCAGGGTGGGGACGTTTCATCCTCTTGAGCTTCTGAATTCAGCAATCAGGGCTTGGCAATGAAATCAAGAGGAGAAGAAATGAGATTTAACCTTAGCTCTTGCAGACGCCAAAGAGATTAAGCCATCTTTCACATCTCCTCCAAGTGTATACTAATTTTTCTCTGCATGTCGCGGGCTGGTTAGAGCCACACGCATCTCATTCAGCTTTCTGCCTTTATTCTAGTGGGAAGCTGCAAATACCCTTCCCTAAAGTAGAAGCGCAATAACCATGTGGCCACTCTGGTCTTTGTCAGCCCACAACCTGTTGCTCTAAGGATGCTTTAAAATAAAGTCGGCCACTAAATCGTCATGTTTTATGGACATATTTATTTATGTTTTTAATGGAAACACTGGCTTCACAGTTTCTTCTATATCTGCGATGATTGATTTTTTTTATTCAGCCAACTTTTATTTACCTTGCAAAAATGTTCTCGACCAATGTGATAAATTACAGATATGCAAATTTCTTTGAATGGTGTTGTAAGTGTGTCTAGCTGGAGCTGAATAACTTCTTGCAAGTCAGTCTGTGCGCACTCAGGACCCCAGGGAGCTGATCAAAGCACCCATTCTCTTTCATCCCCGGTATTCTCCTCCAAACTATTTCGATACAATATGTTTCCATGATGCACTTAATGTGCTAGGGACATAGAACTCATTACAACCTAGCTAGTTCTGCCGACCTCTTTGTTCCGAGGCAGAAAGTCAAAGAAAAAAGGAAAAGCGTTGCCAGTTGCCAGCTTTCTGAAATGCTAAAGCATGCGTCATTTTTCACCAGGTCTCGTCTTGATATCCTCAAAAGACAAACTATGAAACCGGCCTCAGCCCTTTCTGGCATTAATTACACTGCTGTCCAGCCGATCTGTTTTTCCTATTATATGCATTTCTCAGCAGGGATTTTTTTTTTTTGCAAGACTAATGCAGCTGCAAGTTAAACTATGAATGCATTTTTTATCGCTATGGAAAAAAAATAAGTGAAAAGACTGCAAAACATACAACTAAACTTTTTAAGGGCTTCTGGTGGATAACAGATTAGTATTGAACTTGGGAGGTTTTAGCAATTTATGTAAACCCGAAACTGACTAAGAGCCTCAGGCGTTTCCAATGCGCTCTCCACCTTCTGGGGAGTACACTCCCTGTGCCATTTGATATTCTGCTTTGGTACTAGGATATATCTGGAAGGTGAAACCCTTCAAGTTTCCTGTTAAATTTTTGAAATGAAACCGTCTGTGATGCACCCAAGGAGGAGGCTGCTTCCAAGGAATATCTGTCCAGGCTAATAGTACAGAGAATATAAAGTTCTATTTCATTTCCCCTCGTTTCTCGTAGGGTTGATTGGTTGGTGGAAATGGCTGGCAGCCAGTTCTGGGAAAGATTCCAGACCTGACTCCGATTAACCCTCTCTGGTGAAACTCTGCTGGAAACCAACTCACCAGCAATTGCCATTAATCTACTTACTAATTAAGCCAATTCATTTCTAAAGGAGAAAAATTCCTTTCTTTAGCCAAACTGATGGGAGGAAATTTGAAAGAAGCGCCAAACTGTGTAACTGTAATTCAGCCAAGGACTGCTAAAACGAGGTGTTGATATATAGCAGCAGATTTAAAACAAGTTTCTAGGGCAACACTCCTTTGGAGACGGTGGCGTATAGAGCACAGTAGACGAAGCTCGAATAATGCTCTCCAGCGCCCCGCCACCCCATGTACTTGCGCTGAACCTAACGCGTCTCTCTCCGGTTAAAGCTGGTGCCTTTTACGCACAAATAAATCGCCTCTCCAGCGTTGTTTCACACCGGAGTAGGTCAGCTTTATGGGACAGCTACCGTAAATGTATTTCTTGAGACTTAATAAATCGCTTTAGAAATGTGTCCTCCAGAGTCTGCGTTTCTGAAACCGCGGCTGCAGGCAGGGCCTAACTCGTGGTTAGGGGAACCGAAAGGACGCGGCTGGACAGGACGCACGTGAGAAAGCAAACTGGCCTTTCAGCCAACGGTACCTGATATTCTGGAAAGAACAGTACGTGCGTGAATCTTGGCCCTGATACTTACCGGGAAGCAGAACTCCAAGGGGTTTCCCACTTCCTGGAGAATTGTTTACAGCTTTTAAGAGAAGGCTAAGAGCCCAGGACCGACCTAAAATAAGAGGGGACCGCGCTAGAGGAACTTTAAAATCCCCTTGGAGCAGGCCTTAAGGCTTCCCCTCATGGGGGTGAGTTGGTGGGCCAGGAGGCAGCAAATCAGTTTGCCTTTGTGTTACAGAGACACACTGGATGGAGAAGAAGAGGAGTGGAAGTTTAGTGCCCCACACTTTTTAATCGAAGTCTGTCCCTCCCCACCCTAAGGCTTTGGGGCACACTGCTGAGCCCAGGAAAGCGCCCCCGGGGATTTGCAGCCCCTCAGAGTCCGTGTGTGTCACGCTGGCTCACCCAGCATGAGCAAGGAGCTTGAGGAGCTTGGAAAGGTGCTCAGAGTGGGCGCACGTCGCGAGTGAGTCTGCGTTCTCGGGGGAGACGGAATGGCGAGGTTAGAAACGCCGGGAGGTAGTATCACGTGTCCGGGAAGCAGGCCTTCCGCTGGGAGCGGGAGGGCCAGCTCTGTGGTCCCGCTCGGTGCAGCCCAGGGCCGGGTCCCCTTACTCAGCAGCGTCCATATCGTTCACCGGGGTGTTCTGGGGTATCAAGGGCTTCTCCAAAGGCTCTTCCTCTGGCGTGTCCGACAACCTCTCTAAAAATGTGGCAAAACGAAAAGATGTGAATTTTGTTTTACTTGCTGTACACAAACCACTTCCCATTCGTCAGGCAGAGCTCTTTGCATGGTGCATAGTGGGTCTTCCCAGCTCTGGCCCCAGCTGGGGGCCCCTTCAGTGATCTGAAGGTGGGGGTGGGGGGTGGGGGAAGGGGAGGTCAGGCGGTCAGATGCTCCCTGGCCTTCAAAACAGCTTGTGTCAGCCAAGTTTTCCTCTGAGACGGTTTTCCTGCTGCCCTAGACTGTGGAAATGGTCTTAGGACCCTGTGACCAAGGCCAGTAAATGACCTTCTGCTGAGGGTCCCTTTTCTAGAATTAGGAGCAGTTATAAGAGAATTTTAAAAGGCCCAAGGATCTAAGATTTAAACTTCCACTTGCATGTTCAGTCTTTCCTCCCTAGGACATAGAAACTCTGCCTGAGAAGGAAAGGAAACCCTATTGTCAGGGAGGGGTTCTGAAGTTGGGGAGAAGGGAGGTTCCCTCCCCCAACATGGGCTGGGCTCTCTGCTCCGTAGGGAGGGACATTTACCTGGTGTGTAAATTGTGAGGAAAGCGTTGGGGGTCTGAGACAGGAAAGCCACAACATGGGATGTGATGTTCCCGCTTTGAAGGGGAACAAAGGCCCCCGAACTAATCCCAGTGAAAGCCGGGAGCGTGGACAAGGCAACAAAGAATTGCAGCCTGTGGTCACCGGTAGGTGTCAATGTGGACACTTAGAGCAGGGGCAGTGGGAGAGGGGGACACACAGACGGGCTGTCATTCCAGGGCTTAACATGAACAAAGATAAAAACGTGACAACCTCGCCTTTCAATGGTTCGGAGGTTCAAAGTGGAGTGCTAGGGAGTCTATCTGGGTCAAGTCTTTTCTGAAACAGGGCCTTTCTTTTTTTGAGTCAAGTATCAGCCGCGGAAATTCTGAGGCCCTTTTCCCAAGGTAACTTTTCGGAGGAAAAGTAGAATTCTTCAAAATAACCTCCAATTCCACCCACTCGCCTAAGGCGAAGAGATGGAACTTTCAAGATTCCTAGGGATGTATAGAAGGTGTTTTCTGCACCCCAGAGACTCAAGTGGCTGCTGTAAGCCTCTGTGAACTTGAACAGCTTACCTTAACCTTTTGGTTAAAGTTCGTATATTCTTTTTTCACATTTAATGAAAAGAAATAACATTTCCTTTGCTGAAACTGGGCATACGTGTAGATGAATCTAGGGGCGCCATAATTCAGAAACTATTCATCTGGCAAAGACATCTACCTAGGATACCATTGAAGGAGTAATGGACACCTGGTAGAGTGAGTACGCCCAGAGTTTCAGACTCACTATTGGAAATCCTCAGACAAGACATTTGCCAACAAACGGATCTCCTCTATAACCTGGGAAAGGTAATCAGGAACCTTCCGCTAATGCAAAGACTATCTAGGGAGAATTAATAAATGGAACTGACAACGAATGGCATTTATCCTAAGAGCTCAGAAACGCTGTTTTCTTTAAATGCTGCCATCAAAACCAAAAGACACGTTTAAAAATCATAATGGAATAAAATTGTGATTTTCTTCAGTTGGAATAAGTCTCCTAAATAATCAAAAAAAGGGATGTAAATATCCTTAAAAGACTAATGACATTTCACAGGTAATGCAATTTAGAAAGAAACACTTCCATGTTTTCTTTTCCAACAATGTGCATTTTTGTAAACTGCTATAAATTGCAATTCAAAAGCACTGATCTCGCCATCCCCAATCATTTTTTATACTGATCAAATGAATGCAGATACTCCCATTTGGGAGGGGCGACATGACATTTCACTTGGCAGTTCTAAACAGGTCACAGACCTTTCACAGACCCTAAGGCGGTGGGAGGGAGCTCTTTACTAAACCGTGTAACCAAATCAAACCAATGGTTACCCCTTTTCAAAACCATTGGAATGGTTTGCACAATGCTATTCACATAGCAGCACAGAAACTGAAAGGATGGTCATCCAATGGAAATTTCTTTCCTTTTGTTTAAACTTGCAGAGCTCAAAAAAGTCATACTTTGAAGGAAAACAATGACGTTTACTATGATAAAAATCATAGGCAATACACAAGCATGCTTATCGGCATAACGCGGCATAGCTGTAGACACCCATTGGTATGTATATATATGCACATGTATGTATGTATATGTATGTATATTTATTGGAGATGTTGCTTTGTTTGAAACCTTGGGCACAAAGACACAACATGGCTGCCCTGGAGATGACCTATTGCTTTCAAGTTGCTTGAACACATCAGAATTTCCATTGTTAAGGTTGATTAATTGAAACTGATAAGTTACCATGAATAAAGATTGTTTTTCTGTTTAATGTGGTGGGCCTGATTTGGTAAATGCCTCATTCATGTAGCTTTGCAGTGCAGCATATGGGCAAGAGTCATTCAGTATCACAAACATATACAATTTCTTATGCTTGTATGGGCACAGCCAAAAGGCCTTCTTATTTTAATGACAAAGTTTCAATGAAAAATTCCATTTAAAGAGTCACTAGTAACGTGAAGTGCGATTTTGTAATTTATACTCAGAGTTTCTATCTTTGAGTTGCCATGAGGAGTTTTTAAAATGTACTATTTAAATACAGTAAAAAAAAATGCGCATGTCCAACTTATACCATAAGTCATTGAGAACACAGCAAAATTTATCTTAAATTTAGCTGGTATATGAAGAGAAAGTATTTTATTATCTGATGCCACCTGTGTGCCATACGTCAATAAAGTTACCATAAATGTTTCACTGCGATGTCCCCAACAGTCATTCCCCCTGCCCCAGTTTTGCACAACAAAATGCAAAGGAGGTTGGTAAATAACAGGCCAGCTTCCTGACATCTTTTTTTTATCTTAATGAATACAATCAGGAGACGATATTTAAGAAACATTTAGGGATATCACATGAGATACCCATGGATTTATTAAGTTTTCCACAATTTAATTGCTGTTCTTAAAAGCTGGAGTCACTTTTTAAAGCATAAAGCCAAATAAAGACGCCAGGTAAGCTTTCTAATTCTTTCATAATGATGTTGCACAGAAACGTTTCTTCCTCTTTCTCATTTAGGCCGCTCATGTAATCACCAGAAGAGAACTCACAAAAAATATGAAAGACATGCAAATGAGCTAAAGGAATGACTATATCAAACCATCAAAGAGATAGTTACCATATACAGCTTTTAATGTCTTATCAAATAAATTCTCTGGTCATTCATGTCCATGAAACAGTTCAAGTTCACCCAACATTTCTCAATTAGATTAGATGGGTAATCTCAGTTCAGCTCTTTTGGAGAGTAATCAACCACATTGGTCACAGTTGACCACCGCTAGTATGTGTTTCATAAAGGACTGGATGTCCATTGGAAAGCTAATCAGTGCACCGTTCCTTGTAAAATTCCCTCCTGCATTTGGAAGTGATAATCTGTATCTAATTTTTAAAGAAAAATTTACTCTCCTTTCACTCTTCAGAGGCCAATTTCTTTTCTGGACCTGAATAGAGATCATTGGTGCAACAGTACCAAATAGCTTTGGTATGCATATAACAAAAACCCACCTCTTTGTAAAACATAACAAATTATGCAATGTTCACAGATGCGCTCGCCATTGTGCCTTTTGTGAGAAAATGAAGACCCAACTCTGTTCCCCACCCCCCTCTTTATGAAAGACTAGGCTGCCCACGCAATCTGTCCTAATCCTAGAGAAAAATAAATACATGTAATAGGGCAGCTTTGGGTAGTTATTTTTTAAAGTGGTTTTCATTTGGACTTTTGGTCTATGTAATTTGCACAAGCAGGAATCTGAGGTTCCAAACAGCTATTTATTCCAACAAACGGGCAACACAGCTGGGGGCCTAAGGATGAAAATGTTAACTGTTTTTCTCTCCCACCTCTGGAGTTTGGTCTTTTGTGGAAATGCTGTTTTTACACAATTTCCTGCTTAAATTTATAGGTTACCAAGGAAATTTAGTAAATCTTCAATGATAGTTTTTAAATCTACACACTAAAAAGATTTTACGTCTTGGGTCTGTATTTTGGCTTTGGTTTATCCTTCCCCCCGCCAGAATTTTTGGGCTGTAATTGATAGCTGGCCCCATGTAAGTTTATGGTAGATGGCATAGGGACTTGACTTAGATATATTGTAAAATGAGTACCGCGGTAAATTTAGCTAACATCCATCACCTCGTAGAGATTTTTTTTTTCAAAGGGCTTCTTCTTGTGATGAGAACTTTTAAGATCTACTCTCTTAAGAGCTTTCAAATATAGGGCACAGTGGTGTTAACCGCGGTCATTCTGTTCATTACATCCCCAGTGGTTTTTTGTCTCATAACTAGAGTTTGTGTCTTTTGATCAACTTCCTCCAAGCCTTACTTCACCTTTTGCTGGGGGGAAGCTATAAACAGAAAATTCTGAGTAATGAGGTAGCAATTTCTGTGATGTGCTAAGGAGCACAGAGAGGTGTTCTCAGGCCCAGCCTACCTAGCCTAGCCGCCTTAACTCCTGGTATTTCTTTTATTGTATGTCCTAGTATTTAAATGTCAGTCTTAGAGTACAAATTCCAAATACTAAGGAGACTCTGCATTCTGAATGTCTAGCCCAGGGCTTTGCTTATGGTGGGTGTTCATAACATCTGTGCAGTGGATTAATGAATGGAGCATCAAAGAGAATGTGAAAACCGGAAAGGTAAGCAGTATGGCTCCCTGTGTGTCCATGGCCTTTGCCATGGCCTTTGCAGTTCCCTGACATTGACTCTGGTCTTTGTCATCCCATTTGCTTTGACTAGTGGGACAGGAGCAACTATGGTGCCAACAGAGACTTAAATAGCCCCGTGCACTGGAACTGGCTCTCTTTTGCTGCTCTTGAGAACCCGAGACTGCCATGATCACAAGACTGGGTTTGCTTGTTCAGTGATGACAAATGCAAGATCTGGATACCCTGTTGCCCCAGCAGAAAGCCAGCATGAGGCCATCGACG